AGGCCAAAATGTTAAATGAAGTGATCTTTCTAAAGTCTAAACTATAGCCTACTGTAGTATACATCTATATTAGCCTACTTGAATTTTACTATAGATCTATTATTGCAAAGAAAAATAGATTCAAAGTTTGTTTTGGGAAACCAGAGGCCATTTAATAGTATGTTTCAGTTTCATCTTGTCTGATAATGCAATTCGTTACAATAAAAGTAAGCAAAGATTTATGTTTGCTAATTCCAATTTTGAACTAATATCTGATCTTATTTCAAATGTTGACTAGATACAATGCTTTAATAACAAAATTTTTTGATGAACTGATTTTTTATACTGATGTGGCATGTAATCATTTCAGTCCAATTAAAAAGACATTAAACTCTTTAAAAATTAAACCAGCCTGGGTTAATGCTAGGTTTGTCTTATTAGAAGCAAACAAAATTTAAGATATAAAAACTGCTCATGTAAATGGAAAAACCTTGTTTTGAAATCTAATTACAAAATGATTTGCAAAAATGTAGCAGATGGGATTAAAAAAGTGAGACAAAATGTTGAGATTAATCTGGTAAAAAGAGCCATTAAGAATTCAAAGCTTCTTTATAGCTACATGAACAATCAACAAGCAGTCAAAGATGCTATAAAAGCATTATAGGGAGCAAATGCTAAAACCACTCAAAATTTCAAAGATATTGGTGATATCTTAAACAAAATTTTTTAGCTGCATTTGTGAAAAAAGATGGTGATGTGAAAAAAGATGAAGTCTACTGCCTTCTTTTGATTTAAGAACTACTGAAACATTCATTATGACAAATGAAGATTTTACATATGCAGATGTCTATCTCAGATTAAAAAACTTAAAAGATAACAAACCAAAGGATATTGATAATTTACATTCAGCTATTTTAAAGAAATGTGCATCAGCTTTTGTCATTCCACTTTCATATAATTTGAAAGAGTCGTTTGAAACCAGCAATCTGCCAGTGCAATTTAGATCAGCAAATATCACTCCTCTGTACAAAAAAGGAAAAAAAACCTTAGCAGGAAACTACTGACTAGTATCACTCACCTCTATTGCATGTAAAATAATGGAAGGTATAATCAAATGTAAACTTGAAACTTTTCTATATAAGTTCAAACTAATAGTCAAGCAACAGCATGGTTTTGTTAAAAATAAATCATGTTTAATGAATCTACTTGAAACACTTGATTTTGTTTCAACCGACTTGATGAATATGTTAAAAATAAATCATGCTTAACAAATCTACTTGAAACACTTGATTTTGTTTCAACCAACTTGAAAGAATGGTAAACCTGTTGATTATATTTTTTTGGATTTCGCCAGGGCATATGACACAGTGCCCCATGAAAGATTGTTGCTTAAACTTACACACTTATGGAATATCTTGTCTGACAATCCTATGGATTGAAGCATTTTTAAAAGAAAGAAAACAAAGAATTGTGATAGGCAGAGATGTATCATTTTGGGCAGAAATTACCAGTGGTGTGCTACAAGAGTCATTAATTGGACCACTATTGTTTGTACTATTTATAAATCTAAAAAATCCAACAAAGCTGTATGCAGATGACACAAAAATTTTGAATGAAATACTTTCCAGTGCATTAACTCTTTCTTTGCAATCAGATCTTGATTTAGCTTTTAAGAGGTCTTTAAGACTGGCTTGTGAAATTTTATATATTTCGAAATGTACGGTCATGCACTTTGGCCGGAATAACAAGAAATCACCCTTTTATATCAATAAACAAAAGTTAAACATAACAGAATCTAAAAGTGATCTTGGAGTAATCTTTTCAAGCAATCTGAAATGGAAAAACCAGTAATAAAATGCATAGGCAAAGCCAACCAAATGTTGGATCGGATTAGAAAATGCTTTGTTTGTTTAGATATTAGACTGCTGAGAATACTTTATATTTTTTTTTGTGTAACCACTGTAAGAGTTTGCAGTGCAAAATTTGGTCACCTATTGAAAAGGGAGAAATTGAGTTATTAGAAAGAGGCCAACATCGTGCCATTAATTTTTAATGGCACGATGTTGGCGATTAATACCATCACTTATGAAAAATCAGTTATGAGAATTGTCTAAAAGCTCTCGAATTGACTACCTTGACAAAAAGGAGACAACCAGGAGATATGACATTCTTTAATAGTTTTAAAGACTTGAAAACAATCAAAAAAATTAGTATTCAACAAATTCAAACAAGAGGTCAGAGCTTTAAATATGTCAAAGAAATCAAATGAGAAAAAAAGCAAAAAAATTAAAAAGTCAGTAATTTTGACATAAAATAAGCTTATTGAATTAATAAAATTTTCACTAAACTTTATTGATTCAATAAGCTTATTTTAAAATTTTAACTTGACATTTTATTCATATAATGATATATCGCTACTGATTTGGCAACAACACGTAACTGACAATCAATACATTTTTCAGGAGCAACTAAAAACTAATTTATTTCTGTTTAAGACATTATTAGGTAATATTTTTAATTCATATAGTTTTACTTTCAGATTCTGAAATTAAAACTATATGAATTAAAAATATTACCTAATAATGTCTTAAACAGAAATAAATTAGTTTTTAGTTGCTCCTGAAAAATGTATTGATTGTCAGTTACATGTTGTTGCCAAATCAGTAGCGATATGTTGAAATTATTCAGTGTTGAAATACTGGTATTTAAAAATAGAACCGGTATTGGAAACACTGCTCATTAGTATAGAAATGTTGAAAGTATTCGATATTTACAATAATTCAAGAAAACATAAAGTTGAGGAGTCAATAAGAGAGTTGCTGTAAATACATGTATATATAAACATATATATTTACAGCAACTCTCTTACTGACTCCTCAATATAGAAACATCAATAAGAGTTATAAGTAAATAACTGATTTACTAATTCAGTATTAATATAACTGATTCACTTATTCAGTAAATAACTGATTCATTCAAAGTTCACCAGCCGCTATAAACCCAAAGCTGTCAAAGAAGAAAATTCAGATTGGCTGCATGTTCTAAGAAATTTTAAAGTGATGACTTCTTGTTAAGACTGAAGTATATTGATATATATAAGTATATTATTATAAGTATATCACCAGCAAATCATTCTAAAATTAAGATATTAGGAAGATTTTTGAAATAGATAAGACAAAAAACTATGAAAAAATAAATTAAAGGTTTATTACTGTGATTAAAAAGAAATGATTTCATTAATTTGAAAAATATTCTCAGATACACCACATGAAGCAAGCTTATTTAGAAGAACAGTATTCCAGAACTTACTAAAAGCCTATGATTTATTATGAAATAATTCTCCATATGATGCATGGTAGAACCTTTGTAAGTAAACAATAAAGCAAGATGATCGAAATTGATTGTCAGAGAGTAAGTTGTTAGAATTAAGGAAAGATTGTAGAAGTTTATTAAATAAAGATTCAAATGCTTTGCTAATAATAGAAGAAGAATAGGTAATAGGTTGACTAGGTGATAGTTAAATAAAGATTCCAATGCTATGCTGATTAATAGAAGAAAACTGGGTCATAGTTAGAGAGGTCAAAGCAATCTCCATATTTTTTTAAAATTGAAATCACAAATATCATTTTTAAGAAGGCAGGAAAACAAGATTTAGGAATTAAATAGTTATGAGATTAATGAACAGAGACTTGGAACACTTGGAGAGATTTAGAGAAATAGAAAAACACTGAGAGATCTGGAAAACACTTTTGTAATTGGAAAAAAAAGTAGTTAGAACAACAAGCTATAGAAATCTTGAATAGAAAATAACTTTAGTAACAGAACTAGTATTGACTTAAATGTCTAACAATCAACTAACCTGTTTCTTTGGGATAACAGAAAAAATGTTTAAATTTAAGAGATGAGTTAAAGAAAAACAATTGTGCAATTAGTTTTATCTTTAGGATAGGTAAAAAATCAGATTCATATATATGAAATGTTTGGCTTGCTTTTATCATCAATTTTGTTAAAGATTTTTATAAAAGTCTCTATAACCTAGTATCTCTAGCACCTAATTTCTCTAGCACCTAATTTCTCTAGAGCCTAATTTTTCTAGAACCTAGTTTCTCTAAAACCTAGTTTCTCTAAAACCTAGTTTCTCTAAAACCTAGTTTCTCTAAAACCTAGTTTCTCTAAAACCTAGTTTCTCTAGAACCTAGTTTCTTTAGAACCTAGTTTCTTAGATAGTATAAGAAAAAGTGATCTCAAAATAATAGAGTGTCAGACCATAACCTTTTTGCATTGATTTCTTACAATACTAAAAAACAGTTATTAGTTATGTATCAATTCAGGCAGGAGATACATAATTGGTATTTTTGGAAATAAGTTTTGTATCTTCTCCCTGAATCCAGAAGATACATAACTGATTCCAAAAAGTGACAATATATAGAAAAATATATATATTTGTATAATATATAATATATACATTTATTCTTTCATAGTAAAAAAAATATGAAAAATTTAAAAAATTTAATTTTTTTAAATTCGAATCAAAAGTATGGTACTAAGGTTGTCTGTTTTAACCAAGATTTTCAGTCAATGTTTGTACAGTCACTGTGCTTAACCATACAAAATTCATTTGATGCATGTTCACTTTATTGCATGTTTATTGGTAAGAAATTTTCAAAATTCTTATGCACCTTTATTTTAATTCAAAGTATACACACATCTTGTGAAGGTCAACTTTTGTCAAAATGTGGTCAAATTGGTCAAAACGTGGGTTACTTTTAAGCTTATTATTGGAGCTTTTCACAAATTTTTTTTTTTATTACAATTTTTTTAATTTAACTATCACATCTAGATAAAGATTAATACTAGTTCAACAGTGATGAAATCATCATAACTGACGACATCAGTGACAGTATTCCTGAGGATAAATATTATGATAGCAACCTATACGATCAATCAAAATAAATACCATAAGCTGTTATTCCAAAATTTTAAATAAAGTAAACTAGTTTTTACCCTTTTTATTTTTTTAGAACCAACATGCATTGTTTCTTGTAATGGTACAAATACTTGTGCTGGTAGGTGGTTTTATAATTCTTCTTTTAAAATTTTTTAGTATTACTATTTAGTATTATTATTTTCAATCTTAAATGAATTCAATTTGCATTTTTTAATATGATATTTATTTTGTATATGTATAAGATTATTGTTGCATTTTCCGTTTTAAAACTGTGGTTAAAAATTTACTTGTAAAAATGTGTTTAAATCGGTTAATCATGTATCTATTATGTAAACAAATGCTTAAAAACATATTCTTTGAACTTAAAGATTGCTTTAAAGATACTTTGATAAAATGCTCATTATTGTACTCTAGAAGCACTTTGTACCTTAATGCACACCTTTATATATTAACACTTTAAATATTAACAATTTACAATGTTTAATGTGTTATAACATTTTTTGTGTGAAATATATTTGAGACATTTAAAAACATTATTATTATTAAAATACTAATGCATGTCTAAACTACTATTCTTGTTTGAATTATAAGCATGATGGGTAACTCCATGTCAAATGACCCAGAAATCCTAAAAATGTCACCCTATAGGCCGGGTAAATAAAAACAAGCAGTTGCTTTTACTCAGTAATTGGTCAGCTTTGCGTGAATGAAAGCTTAAGCAATTTTGTGTAAGTTTCTGCTCACATAAAGCTGAACAATTACTGAATAAATTGCTTAACTTTACATAAATAAAAATTTGAGCAAAACTACTAAGGTTTTTATTCATGTAAAGCTGATAAATTACTGAGTAACAATAATTGCTCATTTTAATCACCCGGCCTTATATCTCAGATTTTGCTGATTTTCACACAGTTAAGAGTACTTAGTAATATAAGAATTCCTTGAAAATTTAAACAACTGGCTCCAAGAAGATCATGAAGTAATATCTATATCATTTATTATTAGACTTAATAATGAAAGTGTCATTACTAAAACAGTCATAAAAACTTGTTATGACAACAATTATGGTAAAACTCGCTGATTTTCTCCATAAGTTTTCTTCTTACAGTGTATCAGTGTACATCTTCAAGATTATTGAACCCTTTCTTACAAATCGTAGTATAAAAGTTGTCCTCAATGGACAGTACTCTTTTTCATATCCTGTAATTTGAGGGGTTCCTCAAGGTTTTATCCTTGGGCCTAAGGTTGCATCTCTTTATCGTGCTTGCAATTTTCTTATTCAGGATATTATTCTTTATCTCTATAAATCTCAAATCCCTCCTTGTATGGAATACTGTTGCCAAATTTGGGGTGGATCTTTTAATGATGCCCTTTTCTTTTTTAGACAAAGTGCAAAATGGCATTGTAAACATAGTTGGAGCTGCTCTTGCAGCCAACTTCCAACCATTATCATATCATCGTATTTTTGCTTGTCTTTCTCTTTTCTATCAATACTATAGTGGACACTGCTCTAAAGAGCTAGTGTCTCTTGTGACACTAGCTGTTTAGAGCAGTGTCACAAGAGTATATAAATAAAAATTCATTCTTGTGTTACTCATCATTTAATTAAGTTTTAAGTTTTCTGTCAATCATTATCTTGCTTTATAAACTTCAACTTTATCTTTTAGTAACTTCCAACACTAATTAGTGGTTGCTTGCAGTCTTGTTGGAAGTGAAGATATTAATAAATAAAAAAATAAAAAATACTTTCACACAAAATAAAAACAGCTGAAGAAATCTTTTGAATGAGTAACATTGGCCCAACCTTTTGTATTTTTTTGAAAAAAGTAATTATTGACTTTTAAAACAAAATTATATATTGCTGTTTTAAGTTAAATTTATATATTGTTGTTTTGGTTAAATAGACATAGTCCTTTAATTTATTGCTATTTTTAAAATTTTAAAAATATAAAGCCATTTTATTGTTATTTTAAAATTTTGGTTCAAAGTTATCTTGGACTTGGGAAACTTTTACCTATATCTATAAATCTTTTTATAGGTCTAAAGAAATCAACATGATTGAGTTAGCAAATGATTGAGTTAGCTGAGTTAACTTTTGAGGAATACAAACAAACTAAACATTTGATCTTCACATATCTTAAGCATGGGTAAACTGATATGAGAAGGTAAATTATCCTTGATGTTAACTTTTGGCCCATTTTAGTATCTTAGGCAAAAAAATTG